GCAAGCGATAGGCCTCAACGAAATACATCAGATGTGACATGTCTCGTTAAGACGAATGGTGTTCTAAAGTCCATTCTTTTTCAAAAGTGACCGTGAAGTTGTACAATGGTGCCAGAAAGTCTACTGTTATGGAGAGGATAGAAGAAGCACTCTCCATCTTTCTTATTTATCAATCCTGGATGAGCTATGCCTTATTTTGCTTGAAAGACTTCATATATAAATGATGAGCATTTCTCGACTTGAGTCAAATTCTTTTCTTAGCAAAAAAACAAAATATAAAAATTATATTTTTCTATTCTATTCCACTTCATTAATCCGTGTCATCGTTCTGATGAACAACAATTAAGCACTCAGGCTCCTATATAGAACAATAATATAGATGTAATACATTGTCAAATTTGTCATGATTCTTTTATTTCAAAATTGATCCCTTCTCGACATCATCATTGCCGATCATGTAGTCATTATATATGTACTTTATGTTCAGCGAAAACATAAATTCTTAAACATTGTAGTCAAAAAGGTCAAATACGTATTTGTGATCAATCTTATAGAAATTTATTCGTATTAAAAGAAGTTCATTATCATGTCTAAAAGGAATAAGTGATTCGAATTGAACCATTGTATTTGATAATTTTCGTCTTGTTTCTTCAAAACCACTTTTTTGCATTGAATTTGAAGACTAGATCAAATTGAAGATTATTCTCTAAATCTTTGTGAACTTCATGAAATAGTATTTATACCGACAACACAAACATTTATATTAAATAGCATCAATAAAACATATCGATTATTTATGAAAATAAATCATCAAATAACATATTCAAAAAATGATTATTATATTCATAAAAATATTCACTTTTTTGAATAATAAATTATTATATTATGCCAATATATGCTATGATACAATACAAACAGCTCGTTTAGCAATAAAACCAAAATTGTATACAAGAAAACGTGATTCAGCTGATAGCAGTATCAATGGTGTATAATCAATCTTTATTTCATTTTATTTCTCTGCCTTTGATTATATAGTTTATATGTTCCGTTATAAAAACTACAAGAAAAAAACTACTGTATTTAAAAATAGAAAAAGGAAGAATTTCAGTCAAATAGTTTTTAAATGTAATATTGATATTCTTCAATAGTAATTCAATATGTTGACATATACTCTCTATGGATTGCATCATACGATCCATCAAAATGAACAGGATATTCACGTATATTTGTATATAATGCAGATGATGGTGCTGGAGGCGACTACAATAAAAGATTTATATAGTTATTTTTTCTGAAGGTATTATGTTTTTTGAAAAAAGTTTACTATATCTTCAACAACACCAACGTTGCGTGCTTGTTGAACAAGTGTTACTGAATCTATAAGTGATGACCCATAACGAACTCTATAAGATTCAGGATCTTCTAGGGTAACACCAAGATTTTGAAATTTTCGAACTGTACGTATTTCAGGAGCAGAATAAATAATGGTAGTATTAGATGGCGGTGGATATTCTGCAGCAGGAGGAGCAGATTCAACAATTGTACGCCGTTCAGGTTGAGGTCCATAGGGAATCCATCGTTCAATTATAATATCACCTCAATAGCAAAAAAAGCAACAATTCTGGAATAAAAAGAAAACAAAAAAGGAAAATGAAGATAATTATTTTACCTGGTTTTTCTGGAGCAGCTGGAAAACGTTCAATGATAACTGATCGTGGTGGAACAGGTAAAGCAGGTAAAGTACGGATAACTGTAAAATAAAATACATTAATAAATCTAAACTATGTAATATAAATTTCTTTTTTTTATTCTAACTTGTTTCACCAGGAATAGGTTTTGGTGGTGTTGGTGGTCGTTCACGTAAGATAAGTGCAGGTGGTGAAGGAGCACGTGGCGCATGTTCGCGTATGACAAGTGGTGGAGGTGGTGATGGTTGTCGTGGACGCACTTCTTTAATAATAAGTGGCTAAAATCATAAAAAGATTAGTAAGATTGAATTTGTAAACAATGTGTTTCATTACTCCTGGTGGTGGTACGGCTGGTGGTTGAAGATATCGAACAACAATTCGTTGTTCAAGTGTTACTGGACTTGAACTTCTTGCGCGTCGAATAATTTTTGGATTAGGATCACGAAAAATATTCGTACCCGATTTTTCCAGATAATAATTGGTTTCTTCTTCACTATTTGTATTGATCACTGTATCATCAGCCCATCTCCTAGTTCCACACCAACCATATGTATCACCCGTATATCCCACATCATCATAATATCTATCTGTATATCGATATCGATCAAATCGACTAGTATCATCATAACGATGAAGTGTACGAGTTATTGATTCATTTGATGTAGCCAATCCTTCATTACTTGATAACCAATGACGAAATTCATTTGGATCAATACTAAATATGTATATGTGTATTTATTATTTAATTTAAATTCTTAATTTTTACCGTCCATCCTGATTTGTATCAATACGTCTAAATAAATTGTCAGCTGTATCATTAGTTGCCATTGCTTGAAATCGTCAAAGTAGAAATGAATTCTTAAAATAAAAGAAAACTAATGATCATTAATTTATATATCTATCACAAAGACATCAGACACTTGTTTTGTAACATCAAGAGTATTCTTGTTCATACTCTTTTTAATTTGTCTGTAAAAAAGATTAGAAGCATTAAAAAAAAACAAAAAAGTGTATAAATGATTGTCGCACTGTTCTTATAAATAGTTCATGAAGATTGGAATATAATCATGAGAATATTGTAAGAAAACAAAAAAGAAACAGAAAAAGAAGAAGGAGAAGAAGAACAGCTCTTCAGTAAAACTGTTGAAGGAAACTTAGCCCATTAAAAATTCTGAAAAAAGGATATGAAATAAACAAAATCATTGGTTTAACATTATTGTTATGTGATTTAACATAGTGTGACTTTTTCTTATACCATACATACAACTAACCTATGCAGTTTATATTTCGTTTTAAAGGTGAAGAATTGTCTGTTTCAAAACAGCTTACTAGAGTAGACTGTTTTGAAGCTGAAATATGGAACTCTCATATGTTTTTCGGTTTCCTTATACTAATACGAAATAGAGAAAGTACAAAATTAATATTTTTTTATTGTTTGTTTCTAAAGGACATCCTTATTTTTCATTTTCATTGTTGCTATGCACTCATCATTTCTTCTTTTTTCTTTCTCTAGTATTTTGTATTATTATAAACATCGAATGGAATGGTAAATAATTAGTGGCGAAGCCATAATGGTGAACTGGAGAGGGTTGGCGGAGGAAGCTCAGTCTCTTCTTAGGAATGTTCTAGTTCCCTTGGGGAATAAAGTACATGCTGCAAAAAAATTTTCTTCAGGAAAGGAGGTGAGGGGGGGGGGTTGGTGTCGGTTTAAGCTGCCGATACTCCCACTGCCACCCTCTCTGGTAGAACAGCTACCGCGATGAAAATGAAGAAAAATTTTAACAGCTAGGGTATAGGGAGGTATCAAAGGTGAGTGTTAAGCGTCATTCTTGACCTTGCTGGTCTCAGCCTATGTTAGTCTCGATCGAAAAAACTGCAAAAACAATAATTTCGACCAAGAATGACTACCAGACTTATCTATAATAAATAATGAGATCAAAACTCATTAATATCAAGGCCGATATTAAGGAAGACCGAGAGACTTCCTCTCGGCACATTCCTATCATGGAAATCATTAGAACTCTAATATAATAGTGAAAAATCCTTGAACAAAATGATTCAAAGCGCAGCTTGTTATGACAATGGCTTGTTAGAATGTCTGTGGTTTCTTCGTTCTTGACAAAAGTAAAAATAAGTCACTCAAACAACAACAACTGGTAGGAAGAAAAAGAAAAATAATCCAAGACAGGGAGAAACCATAGTAATTCTTCATTGGCAATACTGACATATCCTTCAGAAAAATGAATCGAAAAGCAGATTGGTATGTTTGGTATTACTATTTAATTATATATTTTCTTCGATCTCTACTCGTAAATAAACAAAACACTCGCAGAATAAATTATGATGAAAATCTTAGAAAAACAAGAATATAAGAGAAATGGATACGGTAAGAATCCTTCAAAAGTAATACTACGAGAGTCGTCAGACAAACAAATGTGAGAGCATATTCTCGTATTTGTTGACTCCCTTTCTTTGTGTATATTTCCTTTAATACCTATTAGAAAATAAACAAGGTGCTCATAGAACAACTACATGAATAGAAACCAAGGAAGCAGAGAATGTAGGAGAGAAAGAAATCGTAAGAATTTTCTGATATGAGTACTGACAGATCCATCAGAAACTAGATAGTATTTGAGATTGACTGGGATAAGAATTATGTTGCGAAACACGAATATCGAATTTCGGAAAGACATGATTTCTGCTAACAAATGAAGAATTGTTCTAAGGCTCTATCATATGTCGATTTTTTTCTAACCATGTTAAGTGTTAGTGGAATAAAAGACAGCTTTTGTTGTTGTTTTGTAACTCAAGAAAAATTATGTTTACATCAATCAATTGATCATGGTTGGGGTCAGCATGAAGTGTAGCCATCATAAAACTCCGCACTACGAGAAATTAATGAAGCTATATAAACATGCTGATGGAAAAAGATTTCAACTGATCGTCTGATTTTCGATATGATTCATTATCTATAATCAGTTTTATTTACAGTTGTTTCAAATATGGGCAAAGGAAGTAGTGTCTAACTTTTGTTTTTATTTTCGTTTCATCTATCTAAAAGCGCATAAAGAATTAAGCCTTGAAAAAAATTCTCATTTTGCCAAGCTATTCAGAAGGAAACTAAACATCATCTCGATAGTGTCAAAATAAAACGTATGACTTCGATCTTGATACTTAGGCCTCCTGATTGATCTGTAGTTTTCGTTTCTGAGACGATCGCATAAAAATATATGGTTGGTCTTAATACCTACGTCAAGTAAATAAGAAAGAATAAAATAAAACAATCTCACAAAGAATGACAGGAATGCCGTGCTTTGTAGCGCATGAAAATAAATCTGAATTCTAGTGGTAGTGTTTCGCTGCATCTCTTATTTATATTGTTTCTCTCTCTTCGGGAGAATAAATAAAACATTTCGACAACCACTACTAGTGAGAAACAGAGAGAAAAAAATGTAAGAGAAAGAGAAACGACAAGAATGCTGAGAATGCATCACTGACATACCTGACTGAAAGAAGCAAAAAGTTGATTGATGTGTTTTGATGCTTCTCTTGTTTATGTGACTTAGTCAGTCTTTGCCACAGGATCGGAAGGACACTCACAAAATAACTGATGGGAAAAAACGCAGAACACCAAAAATGTAAGAGAAGAAGAAGAAGCCGTGAGAAGTATGCGGGTATGAATGTGATTATGAGCGCATTGAGATGTAAAATTGTGGCTGCATCTAACAGTCTTCATTATGAAAAAAACCCAAAACCAAAGCTACACAAATACATAAACATCTACGAATACTCACCCACGGCATACCTGTCCAAATTAACATACCAGAACCATATCCTCATCATCATGTTTCACATTTTAAATTTACTAGGATTGCGCTAAGAGCTTTTCGAGAAAGATGATATTGCAGCATGGATGTGGGAGTGAGTGTGGGTGTAAGTCTTTGATACAGCATCCCAAATCATCATCCATGCTTGCAATTACATCCATAAGTACACCCATCCAATTTCACATCCACACCCACGCCCTCAGAAATGGTTTAACACATGTTGAAAAATGTATATAGTTGAAATAAGATACTCATCAAAATAAAACAAACACTGTAGCTGAATTTTATATTAGTTTCATTTCGATTGATTATTGATAATAATTTTTCGAGACTGAAAACTGAAATATGAGCTGAATAAATATATGGTAAGAGTCGAAAGCGATAATAAAAAATTTTTGAAAATTTTGTATCTATTATATTGGAAAGTTATTTTTTGATTTTCATCTATGAGAAACTGATATAGTCTAAAGGAAAACATTAAAAGTAAGTTTTGGATTATTTATGAATTTTTCACTTCATTTTTCTGAGTTATTTTTCTGATGTTTTAACTCAAATGTTTCATACAAATAAATAACACATCGTTTCATTAGCTATTTGATCAAAAATCAAGTAGAGCATTTTCCAATTGAACGATAGTGTCAGTTGAATTAGTAATTGATTTTCAGAATAACAATCCTAGATGGTCAAGCATCTTAACACCTCTTGACGTAGAATAACTCTGCCTACTAAGGCTCGTTGTCAGGAATTAAACAGGAGAAAACATTCATAGTTAGTGAGATACACAAAAGTGAAGCTCTCATTAAAAATCTCCTGTGGAGAAACTTCTCAGCAAACAGAGCATTTTTTTTTATACACATTATCAATCTGTTTTCAGTACTTTTTTTCTTTCTTTTGGCTACTGATTACTGATGATTTTCATCTTCCATCCAATAATGTGCTCTGCAAATGACGTTCAACACAGCCATACTGATAATTCTAACCAGGCATAAGTATCAAGAACTATTATATAAATAAAAACTAAAATTTTAGGATTGTGAACTGTAATTTTCAGTGGCGATAGAGATTAAGAGAGGGTCCATAAGCTAATCGAGTATACGAGGCACTCGATAAAAATTTTTTTTATTCGATTTTCTTTGCTCATTCAAAGCATCAATGTCTAAAACCACTAACCCCAAAATTTTAGGTCCGAATACCTTTCCTTTGAAAAGTTAGCCAATCAATACCGACTTCTAGCACTATCATACTTTTTTGAGACAAAAAAACAAAAATACTCCATAAAAGCTGTGCCAGTTTGGGTTTGAATAGATTATGGAAATTTTTTATGGTATATGTCGAAAGATAGAGAATTAAAAACTGAACAAAATAAGCTACATGAATGTAATGTTGTGCAAGATAAGTTTTATAAAGTCAATACGAGTCAAGAGTGATTATTTTGACCACTTCAAAAAACAAAAAAAATGTACCTTCTGTTGTGTGTCAGAATCAAGAGGCTCCAAGCTGAGTTTTACATATGTTGTGCAGCTTTTATTTCTCTATAAAATGATCAAAAAAAAAATATTCAAAAAAAAATAGTGAACTCGGTGGAAAACATGGCTTGCATTGCTAATTTTCTATGATTTTTGAGAGTTTTTCAATGAAAAATGAACATTTTTATCAGTTTTCATTGTCACATTACCATGCTAAAACAAAATAAATATGATATTTCTGAATCAGCATCAAAAACTGTATCTATTGATATACTTTTCATCGAAAACTTCTTTCTGTCCGAAACTAGTCTGTGGTTCCTCACAGACCAATTTCGGGTAGGAAAAAATTTTCACTAAAAAATACATGATTACATACAATTTTAACACTGATTTCGAATATCATATTTACTTTGTTTTAGCATTGTGATATGACAATGAAAACCGCTAAAAATATTCATTTCCTATTGAAAAAATATTAAAGATCATAAAAAAATTAGCAGTGTAAGCCCTGTTTTGCATCGATTCTAAATTTTTTTCCGAACATTTTTTTACCAAATTGTACAGAAAAAAAGGCTACACACTCTATGTAAAATTCAGTTGTGTTGACTTTATAAAACTTGACTTGCACAACATTACATTACATCCATGTAGCTCATTTTGTTCAGTTTTTAATTCTCTATCTTTCGATATATGCTATAAAAAATTTCAATGATCTGTTCAAACGAAAGCTGGCACACCTTTTATGGGACATTTTTTCTTTTTTTTTTATCAAAAAGGTATAATAGTGCCAAAAGTCGGTGTTGACTAACTTTTCAAAGAAAGGGCATTAGAATCTAAAATTTTGAGGTTAGTAGTTTTAGACATTGATGCTTTGAATGAGCAAAAAAAAATCAGAAAAACAATTTTTTTATCGGGTACCTCGTATACTCGATCAGCTCATGGACTCTCTCTTAATGAACTAAGTTCACTTTATTTAAAACACAAAGATTCCTGAGAAAATAAAAGATTCAATTTTGTTTTAATGCTATTCAATGATGGTTCTATAAATCCGATTATGTAGACAAGACCTTCAATTGTTTTTCTGATCTTTAGGTTAAAATTTCATATGATACATTTAATCAACTTCATGATTTTTACACATTTGAATTATCGTTCATAATATTGAATTGACTATTAATTGATAGATAATAGAAAAATGGATAATTTTCAAAGGTTTTCTATTGATAAACTTAACTTTTAAAATATTTGAACAGTGCTTCATAAAATTTTAATAATGCTTTCGATGTCAGAAGACACTTAATTTGTTTTAAATATTCTTTTCCTGCAAGTAGCAGCTCGAATTTTAGCAAAAAATTCTCTTAAATAATTTCAAGAAAGTAAATTCATTATTTTGTGTTATTGACTTCATTTATTTTGTTATATATTTCTCTTTCAAATGTGAATCAATAATAGAGCATCGTCAAATTTTATTCTTCTCAACTATATCGGTATCTCATTTAAAAATTTCATATCATTTGAAAATCTAATTAATGCGCGACACAAGTTTCATCGGTATTGAAATAAACTTTTTATACTAATTATTTTGACGTATAAGAATAGAATGCAACATATAAAGGGTGTAACATAAGTTCTGATTCCCTCATGAAATATTTATTTTCTTATGTATTCCCTAGAGTAAAAGAGGCTGATATTTATAGTTTATATACTAGATGTTTCGATCTACTGTACGCTAGAATTTGAGTATTGTTACAAAGATATAAACATTATCAAAATCATAAGAAGTTTTGAAATATTATTAGAATAATAATGAATGAGAAAAATTGTAGTCATTCCAATCACACATTTCATTACAAGTTTTGCTTTATTACATATAACTCTTGCATTCTGTTATTTGTCAACATCATTATAAATAGAAAAAAATTTCATAGTGAATTAGAATTGAAAAATCAAGTAATACAACAGTTGAGAATGTTCAATGCGGAAAAATGTCGACAAATTATTAAAACAATACCGAATCGATTGAAGCTAGTGATACTTCAAGATGAAGAACAAATATATGAACATTAATCAATGGTTTTTATTGTTTTTAGAGAGAATTTAGATTTGTAAATCTCTTTTCGAGTAATACTTTTTATGTGACATTATAATCAAGAAATAGAGCTAATTGTGACGATAGAACGCAAGAGAGGGAGTCAGCTATTTTTATTCGTCTGTGTACAGAACGCAAGAGACTGTCAAGGAGTGAAAAGGTTAACATAGCTTCTTATGCGTAGGGTTGACCGTGACGATATCTGTTTCTATTAGTTTTTTTCGCGTATGATTAGTATATAAGTGTGCGATCGTACTGACATAGATACATTCAGAGTCATAAACGGTTCATCCAAACATTATTATCGAGGCTAACGATAGAATTTCTCTTCCAGTTCGTCACAACAATATTTTCCATATTTCGTTAAACCATTCACTATCTATATTTGATATTCTCTTCAAGATAATATTTTTCTCATCATGCAAAATAACTTTTGTTTCTATTTAATACCTGTATAATTATTCAATACACTTTTATTGACATTGCTAAATAATTAAATAAAATATATTTTGATGTTTTGTGCTTTTCAAGCAATATGATATTGTTTTACAAGTACTATTACAATCACACATCGTTGTTATTATGCATTCTATTCTTTTCTTTAGACAATACTACTTTCTTCTTATTGAATGTTTCAACATACAAAAAAAGAAACAAACTGCTAGCACATGGTTTACACCATTGATCAACCTGTACGACGTGTCTATGAATATGCTGATACATTTTCATCCTATTTAATCGAACAAAGCACAATAATCATCAAATGCTTATTTATTTGTTCGAAGGTTTTTATAAACAAATAGCTATTTAGGAAATACAATTCCAACGGTATCTAAATAGGCCTTGCTCGTGATTTATACTAATTGTGAAGCATGAAAAGAACCATGTTTTTTGTTTTTCGTTGAATATTTTAATGTTGCAGTACTTGTTACTTCCATTAAATAAGTATTTTTAGTCTATTAATCAATGTAACGTGAGAAAAAAAACTTTCATAAATAAGAGAAATGTGGCTATGGAAGAAAGGGGAACGCATCGTCTCATGTTTAGTAAATTTTCACTCAAAATCGTATTTTTATCAAGAACAAGATCGTTAGATTCAAAAAAAAGAAAGTCTAACATTTCCTACTTTTAAAAAATTGTCTATGAACTTCCCAACTTTCAAAAAATTTTCTTCTGTCTTCCTCTCCTATTTTTTCCCTTTGCTACATATTAGGTAAGCAATAGCCAATGTTGCATATCAAATGCGTCATTAGGTCACATATATTTAACCAAAATGATATCTTTAATTGCTCATATTTGAGTATAAAAGGCAAGAAAAACGAATGTTTGTTTTTATTTATTGACAATATTTTGATTTCTTTATTGTTGACTGTTTGCATATACTTTGTTGATAATGCTTTCCAGTTGGATATTGTTTGCTATGGCAAATATTATTACATTATTATTTTTTATACCTTTCATTGATGAAGATCTTTTAGCATTAACACGAAATCATCGCATGGTAATATTTCATCGAGTGCTTTCCTTACGACATAAACTTTTACCATTTCTACATCCTGAATCAGTAAAAATGGATGCAGATTCAAAAGCATTACATGAATTAATTTCATTATATGATCCACAACTTGATTTAGGTGATGATATAACAAATAATGATATTGAAGAGTTTCGTTATCATTCAAAACGAATGTTAACTGCTTTATTTCCAGCGAAATCATCATCTTGTCTTGTTCAATATCATACATTACAATATAATACCAATCAAGTACATATGTATTATATACAACATGAACAAATAGATAATTGGAAATGTTCTAATCAACCATTAATACTTTATTTTCATGGTGGTGGATTTGTTTTTGGTGATATTGATACGTATTCTTGTTTTGAATGTCATCTATCAAAATTTCTTAATATGTTAATACTTCATGTTGATTTTCGTCTTATACCTGAATATTCTCTCGAAGAGACTATCGAAGATGTTATTAATATTTATAAAATTTTACTTGATATTGATTCTAATATTCATCGAAGATTAATTGGAATGGGTGATTCATCAGGTGGAATGCTTTGGATTTATCTTTTACAATGGATTATATCTAACAATAAACCTATTCCACAAGGTGTTATTTTACATTCTCCATGGCCTAATCTAGAATATTTCGATAGAATTGATAGAATTCCTATGGATAATTATTTATCATTAACACTTGCATATAATTTACGAAAATTAGCAATTGGTAAAGATACTTATTGGTTTGACGTAACTGATGAACAACTAAGCAAAATAAGTCCAAACGATGATTTATTTGAAGGATTTCCATCACTTTATATAACAGCTGGTACAAATGAAATATCAATTGATGCAATTCGTAATATGACAAAGAAAATAAGATCAGCAGGTGTAGAAGTTGTATTAGATGAAGGTGAAGGATTGATGCATACATATGCCTTATTTCATATGTGGTCACCTCAAAGTAGATATGTTCAAGAAAAAATTCGTCAATGGATTCAAGAAAAATTGTTAGTTGAAATGTAATCTAAATTCAATGTACATAGATCTACAATAAATCCATAGTGTATTTAGGAGTCCGAATTAAGATCTTTTGATTCGATTTAAACTCTATGTTTTGGTTTTTGTGACGTATACGTGTCAGACAAAGTTAAGAGATAGTCAAAATAGAAGAGAATATATAATAGATTCAAAGACAAAAAAAATAAATCAAAAAAAAGATGAGAAGAAAAGAACTAATGCTGCATATTTATATATAATTATGTTTAAATTTAAATAAAATCTAGCTGAATCTAAAAATCTGTAGAGTTTGCGATTGTTGTCAGTTGAAATCTGATTTGTTTTATTAAGACCCATCGCAATTGCTATCAAATTTCTCTCATATAATATTTGTCCACAAAACAACTATGTATGGCATTTTCACAAATAATTACAAAAAATTAAAAAAATTTTTTTGATTGTGTGAATAGATTTGATGACGTAAGTAAAGTTAGCCCCATATTCGAGTTTTTTGTATCCGGATTCGTTTTTGGACTTGGGTTGGCTCTCTACTTGGTTGGATTATATGCATTACTTTGACATCACTTTCATTCAATGACTTTCATTACTTTGATGATGTCAAAATCATTATATTAGTTTCGTTCCTTTTGCATCGTTTTGATTCCATGATTTTGATTTCTTCTAAAAAATCAAAATTATTACAATATAGTGTGCTCTATAAGTCTCTTCTCAAAAGTTTTTGGTATATCTTTACTATTTCCTTTTACTTTATCAAATGACTCTTTTTAAATGATAGGTGCGTACATCAGATTTTTATTTATACGAAGATGCTGCAAAACTATCATCTTCAGTCGAAATACCAAGATTCAGTCTCTTTTCTAGATGTACAACAGCATTATAGAGCAATTCATTTCCAATTCTTTCTATTTTTTCAATTATTAACATCCTCACACATTCCATTAGTTAATAAATACAGCTGCCGTATTGGATACACTGAGGATCAATAGATGACTGGAAATTCTTAATGTACTCAGCAAAAGTTAATGTGATATGTAAGGTCAAGGACAATAATCATTCTCAGGGAATAAACAATCAAAAAGAATTCATTTAAATGGTTATTTCGAAACTTTTCATCAATAAAATTCTATGACTTCGATTATTTCATAAAAATCAATATTATTACAATAATCTTATAATCTGTGTATCCCCACATGTCCTTTTAGTCTCTTCGATCTTTCAGATCTCTTTAGTCCCTATGATGGTGAGAGTGAAGTTAATTTTTGAGGTTGTGCATTGATACTGGCAAGAAATATCATTAAAAGACTGAATGAGCTAACAGAAGTCAAGAGACTAAAGTGATTATGTGATCTCGAGAAAGTTAGACTGGGAAACTTTCGATTTCTTGTAGACTCCTCACGCCAGTACAAATTCATCTATATGACAGTAAGCTACAATATAACACTTTTAACAGTAGGGGACACATATCCAGATTCTGTGAGTTTTAAACTCATGGAACTCTCAAATGTGCAGCTTCACTCATGAAAACCTCGAAAGTCAAGCAATTTCAACAACCAAAGCAATTCTAAGAACTTGTTGAAATTTAGGTAACGAATCCACTCTAACGCTTCAAACAAAATTGGCATCATCACGCTTTGATTACCCACAAATTCTAAACAACTGCAGTGGTGTTTTACATCTGGAAATGCGAGATACGAGAAATGTCATGACAGATGATAAATATATAGTATAATCTTTTCCGCGGATATTTAAATTTGGATATGACTGCGTGTAATGAGAACCGAAACTAATACCACACCAACATTTATCCACTTCCGAGAGTCCTGCGGGTTCTGTGAGTGAAGTTGCACTTTTGTGAATTCTAGGAATTCAGAACTCAAGTAGTCTAGCCACTGCTAACTTTTGGTCAAGCCTAAATATTTTATTTAACATTCGATTTATGTGGGCACTTGTCACCATATCGATCGAATCATCTCGGCCCAGCCCAATGAAACCTCTACGAAGGACCTTGAAAAATATATCATCAAGAAATTCATATTATTAAGATAAAACCTTTATTGCTTTTACATTATATTGATAGATAAGTCGTATGTTAATGATAAACTATAATCTACATTAGTAAATTTAGTTATATACAATCATTTCGAATAATTTTTCAAACTAGATCATTAATTACTAGTATAAATCGTTTTATTTTTATATTTCCTAGAAGATGCATAACAGCGGACATAGAAAAACAAAACAAACAAAAAAACAAAAGCACACATAACATAATTGTTCTAATACATTTATTGGCACTTTTTAAAAGCCCATGCCACCCATTCCACCCATACCGCCACCCACTAGAAAAAAAAAAAGAAAACAATTATAAATATGCGAATTTTCAAAATATTTAAAAATACATACTACCACCCATGCCAGCTGCAGCAGCATCTTTTTCGGGTTTAGGTGCTTCGACAACAACAGCTTCTGCTGTTGTCAATAATGAAGCAACACCACTAGCATCTTGTAAAGCTGATCGAACAACCTATAAGAAAGAAAGAAAAAAAAACAATACATATATTTCTTTTTTTTTGCCAAAATATTTTTCTTTCTTTCATACTTTAGTTGGATCAATAATACCAGCTTTAACCATATCAACAAATTCATCACGTTGTGCATCATAACCAATTTCAAATGGTGACATAAGTACTTTTTCTACAATAATACTACCATCTTTACCAGCATTCTTAGCAATTGTTGCACATGGCATACGAAGTGCTTTTCGAACTATTTCCATACCTAAAATAAATTCAATCGATATAATAACTATTATTATAAAATATAAATTTCTTTTACCAATTTTTTGATCAGCATTAATTGCACCAGGATCTGTTTCCAATACTTTAAGACAACGTAAAAGTGCAACACCACCACCAGGTACAATACCTTCTTCAACAGCTGCACGTGTTGCATTTAATGCATCAGTAATACGATCTTTTTTTTCATTAACTTCAACTTCACTACCACCACCAACTTTTAAAACAGCAATACCATTTGATAATTTAGCTAAACGTTCTTGTAATTTTTCTTTTTCATATTCAGAATTTGTTTCAGATATTTCATCTTTAAGTGCATTAACACGTTGTTCAATAGATGATGTATCACCTTTACCACGCATTAATAATGTATCATCTTTTGTTACAATAACTTCACCAACACGACCAAAATCTTGAACAGTTACTTCATCAAGTTTAGTTAAATTAGCTTCATCACCAAATACAGTACCACCACAAGCAACAGCTATATCACGTAATGTATTTTTACGATTATCACCAAAGCCTGGTGCTTTAATAGCACACACTTGAAGACCAACTTTTAGTCTAAAAAAAATTTAAATTTCATAAATGATTTTGAATTTTAGCCATAACTATTTCTCGGGAGAGAGATATACGAGACTTAGTTTTTAGGATCCCGCTATCAGTTAATATTTTCCACTGGCTTCGGTCCCGGTGACTTTAGTTTTTCGGGTTTTGATCTACAGAAAACAACTGCAAACTTCATTCGCATCACAGGTTTAAAAAAATATATTCGATACTCGTTTTTTGATTTATTTAGTTGGCAATTAACTCTTTTTTGGGATATGTTGTCTCTTAAATTATGTTCTAATTGATAATTCGCTTAAAATCATAGAATATTTAACTGTAATCTTTAGTTCTAGTTGGAATAAGCATCTTCTCCTAGTTCCGACCTTGGTCTCAACAACTTCTTCTTCCCATGGTACCAATCCCGGTAAACTTTCCAGTTTTGCTCCTGTACATTTCTATTCTTGATTCATGCAAGAAAGTCTCTAATGATAGACGTCTTTTATTCTGTTCGAGATGTAAAACTATTCTTATGCCCCAAAGGCATACTCCACAACAGCATTAGTCAGATTTACTCGTATTAGTTGTCAGTAAAAAAAATAATCTTTTCCATTCAAATTCTGAAAGGTCAAATCGATTCAGAAGTAACAGCAGAATCGCATTGAAAGTTTTTTATTATCAGCATAAATTCATTCAACTATAAAGGACATCGCTTAATACCTTACGCCAACGTGAAATTACATATAAAAACAAATATTCTTTTGGAAATACCTGTTAATAACAAGTGTTGTAAGTGCTTCACCATCAATATCTTCAGCAATAATAAGTAATGGTTTACGTTGACTATTAGCTAATTCTAAGGCTGGAATTAATTCTTGTACTGATGAAATTTTCTTTTCACTTAATAAAACAAAAGCATCTTGATATTCACATTTAGCACCTTTAGTTGTATTAATAAAATAAGGTGAAATAAAACCACGATCAAATTTCATGCCTTCAATTACTTCAAGTTCATCCATAAGTGTTTTACCATCCTATAAAAAATAAAAGTTTTACAATTTATTCTTTTCATTCATTAAAAAAAAAAGAAAAAATCTTACTTTAACAGTAATAACACCATCTTTACCAACTTTTTTCATAGCATTTGATATAATATCACCGATAGATACATCACCATTTGCTGATATTGTTGCAACTTGTGCAATTTCTTCAGGTGTTGTTACAGTTTTAGACATTCGTTTAAGTTCATTAACAACAGTTGATACAGCAAGCATAATACCACGACGAACTTCAATTGGATTAGCACCACGAGATATTTTATCAAAACCTTCTTTAGCAATAGCACGTGCAAGAATAGTTGCAGCTGTTGTACCATCACCTAGATAAGAAATTTTTTTTTTTTTTTTTTTTTTTGTAATTAAAAATTTCATATTAATTGTTCATACCAGCTTCTTCATTTGTATTATTTGCAACATCTTGAACAAGTTTAGCACCAATATTTTGAAATTTATCTTTAAGTTCAATTGCTTTAGCAACTGTTACACCATCTTTTGTAATTTTTGGTGCACCCCAACTTTGTTCGAGAATAACATTACGTCCCTACAGAAATATATATATATTAAAATTTGATTTTTAAAAATGTTAAACAAACTTTAGGGCCCATTGTAACAGCAACAGCATCAGCAAGAATATCAACACCTTGTAACATAAGTACTCGAGCATCAGAACCGAATTTAATTTCTTTAGCTAATGAACGTCGTACAACATGTCGAATTAATGGTGATGTTGTACGTGCAAATGTATTTGCAAAACGATACATGTTTAATGATGGTAATGTTCTAAATATGATCGATAAAAGTAAAGTAAATGAAAAAGCAAAAAAAAAGAAATGTAAAAAAGAAGAGAGATGAAATTTAGAATAGAGAAATTTCGTATTTATTTTTCTTTCCTCCGTGTTGTAGTTGTTTGACCTCCTTCATATGAATGGATCATAAATATGTTCCAATCAAAAAACAACAGAAAGGAATAAGAAAACGACCTAAAATTTATCGCAAAAAATATTCTCGATTATTCTAGTAGGTCATAGAAATAATTTATTAACATGGTGAGTTAGATATAAAATAAGATATATTTTTTTAATTAAAAACAAAAAACAATAATAATATTATTATTTTTTTAAAGGCATCTTCAGCATTAAAACGTATTATTCCATTATTTGATCGTGTACTTGTTGAACGATTTGCAGCTGAAACTAAAAGTAAAGGTGGAATACATATACCAGAAAAAGCTTTAGGTAAAGTACTTAATGCAACTGTGATCGCTGCTGGAAAAGGTCTTAAACAAAAGGTAAATTAAGATCTCTTTTTTTTAAGTTCGTCGATCGTTTTTTTTTTTTGTTGTTTTAGGATGGTACTCATGTGCCAATGAGTGTTCAAAATGGTGACAAGGTTCTATTACCAGAATATGGTGGTACTAAAGTAGAAATAAATGATAAAGAATATTTCATCTTCAAAGAAGCCGATATTCTTGCGAAATGGGAATAATAGTTTTGTTTCGTTTTTGCTAAGTTTGTTTTGTTTTTTTTTATGTGTAGGCAAACAATTTGTTCTTGTTATTTTCTATTGTCCCATGTTTCTCGTACTTATTAGGTAAAACATACATTCAGTGCTTTTCTATTCTATTAATAAAACAACACAAATAAAAAGCACATTAAGCATAAAACTTGTTTTTTTTTTGTAAGTTGAACACATTATTAAAAGACTAATTATCTATAGAATGAAAATATTTTTTTTACGGATATATATCTGTGTAAATGTAAGTTATCTATCAAGAGAAAAAATTTGAACTATTCATTTATCCTATTATAATTTGAAAATTTATGATTACGAAACTACTTGTGCTTATCTTATCGGTTCATATAAAATTTCAATGAAGATTCATTTTCATTTTAAAATTCATGATTAACAAATAAAGAAAAATGTATTATGGAAAATATCCAAGTGAATGTTCAAGCGTTGTTTGTTGACGTTGTTCTTCACCATAAAGATAAGCTCCTTGATCTGTATGACGTAAATATTGTCGATAATCAATTGGTAATTCTGTATCACCAACTGTAAATGATGCAACTCGTTTTGGTTTTGATGAAGATGATGAAACATTCAATTTGTAAGGATGTTGATGAAGATGAGAATTCGATGTAAATGGATATACTTTATTACCATTTTTAATATCTTCTATTGATTTTAATATATAAGGAACACGATGATCATCATCAGTTGAATTTATTTTCGTATTTAACATTCGATTTGATACATTTGAATTAATTTGATGAGTATTTGTAAAAGATTTTCTATAAAATAAAAAATTCTTTTTTTTCTTCTAATGAATAATTTTCTTACGTTTGATTATTTCGTAATTGTTGTACAAGTGAATAAATATTTTGTTCTTGATTTAAACATGGTGTTGATTGATAATGAGTATTATTAGTATTATTATTATTATATTCATTAATTGGTTTTGTTGATAAAAAATCCAAATTAAGAAAACCATTTAATAATTGTCCATTTGTTGAACGAAAAAAAATATTTTCATTACTATCAGATGAACGCATTGTTATATTTTCACGTAAAAATTTTGGTACATAATTACCAATATCACCATAATGATTAAGTATAATTTGTGGTTGTAATAAATGACCATCAATAATTGAATTGAATTTTTGTTGATGTGTAATATTATTTATTGTTGGTATAGATTTTAATAAACGTTTTTTATTATGAAAATAACGTTTTTTATTCATTGTATAATCATCTGAATATGATGTTTGATCAAATGATGCTTGACGTTTAATTGATACTTGATTTTTAATTTGTTCAATAGCAACAATATTTAATAAATCATTAAAAATTTCATCAGATTCATCTTTTATTAATGATGATACTTTTATAAAATGACGTTGTTTTGATGTTGAACATGGTGATGACATACGATGAATGTCTTTATTCATTGTTAATACTTTAGATGTGTCATGAAAAGGAGAAGGATGTCGAACATTATTTATTAGTAACGAAGACGACGATAAAGGATTACGAGAAATATTTGTTGTCAAATGAACAACATCATTCGAATTGACATTTGATAATATATGATTAGTCTAACAAACAAAAAAATAAATAAACTATTTGTACAAAATTCAGTTGAATTTACTTGTTTATCTGCCATTGTTTGATTATCAATTTGTCGATGTTCCATTATTGACATAGGTCGATTTCGTTCAAGATATTTGATTCGTTTTTCTATTTTGACTTCTTTATCATTATCTTTTGTACGTATTAATGTTGTTCTATTTGATAATATTGGACTCATTGTTCGTTTAATTATTAATTTACGTATCATATTACATAAATCAAATGCTTTTGATTCACGATGTATATCAAATACATGACAATCGATAAGAGAACATGAATTACCAACACCTGGTTTTCGTATAAAAAATAATAAAAGTGGTGGATGATATGATGTTGATGTTAAAAGAAGATTGTATTGTGTTTTATTGATTGTTGAATAAAGTGAATGAAAACGTTGTTGCTGTTCATAACCTATGGAATAAGAAAAAAGAAATTCTTTTACTAAAATTTAAATAGGCAAATGAATAATAATTATTTACATAAAGCTTTACGGATATTATCTTTTTTGAAGAAGAAAGCAAGAAAAAAAAACAACATATCATCATTATTAAATAAATTATGTAAGAATAACAATTGATCAATAATCATGAACAAATAGTAAATTTAATGAATATAATTAGTGAATCGATTAAATCTACTCTTTCGATTCACAAAAACAATAAGAAATAATATTCATATGAGATTACAATGTAAAACGTCATATAAGTATTATTTTTTTTTTTGTTACAAACGAAACAAATTTAGCACGATTTCCTTGAATTTATTTGTTATGATAACAAAAAAAGAATGCTAATCCAGACATACCTACACATAGAATGAACGTGTTGTTTTTATCAAAGGTATATCTCGAAGTCGATACAAGAGAACAATCAACGAGGTGATTAAAACAAGAAAAGAAAATATGTTACGAATGTTCGTGTCATTGAGTCTACTTTAAGAATGTGTTGCGGAATTTCGTTGTTAAAGTTTCATTCATCGTTTGATTTTTCGCATGTCTTTTTTGCAAAAATAATTTCTCAATTATTCATGGTTCAAGAATACATTGAGAGATCAAACCGTTTCGAGACGATCAGATTTTAAGATCTGATCGATCATCTTAGACTCCAAGAATAGATGTTATTAATCGAATGAAACAACAACAAAAAAAAAACAGTAAGTATTCGCTTCTATAGAAGAAATAATAGACACGATACGAACTATATACAGTCTTGCTATAAAGTGTAATACATTTTATATTAGTATGAATAGTTTATAATGAAATGATGAAACTTTCAGAAGCATAAATCTAAAACTAATTTATTTCGATATTTTGAGAGCAAATGATTCTTATAATTTGTTTATAATGAATTTATTGTATCTAACTTTCATCGATACATCTCGATTTTAATTGTCACTTGTGTTTTATAAAACGATACTGTTGTATTAAAACTTACCAATTGGTAAAAAAGCTGCTTGTATTTGTTTATATTGTTGATTTTCTGTATTATTGATCATAATAGATAATTTTAATATTTCGATATCAACAATAGATTCAAAATTTAAATAGATAAATGAACGTTTATCTTTTATTGTTGCATTAGGTTCAAATATTAATATATCATAATTTGATATAATAATACGACGTTGATCATGACAACGTTCATGATAATATGAAATATATAATTCACGTAAAGGTTTTTGAAATGATCTTAAATTTAATGGTGATTTTCCTAATAATATTGCACCAAAATAAGGTAAATCTATCGAATAGACACTTTGAGATGGCATGTCGTTGACAAAAAACAAAAGAAATAAAAAATGAACTTCAATTTTGTATTACACGATGTGACAATGGTGACATTGACAGACGTAGCGTTGACATTAATCTATCGATAAGTATGTGTATGTACGTGCAAACCTTGCATTTATACGTGAACGAGACGGATATTCAATAGAATGTTGAAGAAGGATGGATCGAACGTGGTATGTTTTTATTAAACAAAGAAGAAAAAAAAAA